CTCTACCTGTGTGACAACAAGTTCCACACTGAAGCTCTGAATGAACTCCTGGAATCTGATGAGAAGTTTGGATTTATTGTGATGGATGGGAATGGAACCCTCTTTGGAACTCTCAGCGGTAATACCCGAGAGGTGCTTCACAAGTTTTCTGTTGATCTCCCGAAGAAACACGGGAGAGGAGGACAATCAGCCCTTCGGTTTGCCCGTCTCCGTATGGAGAAGCGCCACAATTATGTGAGGAAGACCGCTGAACTCGCCACACAGTATTACATTAATCCTGCTACAAGCCAGCCTAATGTGGCTGGACTGATCCTTGCTGGTTCAGCTGACTTCAAGACTGAGCTGAGTCAGTCAGACATGTTTGATCCCCGTCTTCAGGCAAAGATCCTTAACGTTGTTGATGTCTCATATGGAGGAGAAAATGGATTTAATCAAGCTATCGAGCTCTCTTCAGAGATCCTGGCTAACGTGAAGTTCATCCAAGAGAAGCGTTTGATTGGCAAGTACTTTGAGGAGATAAGCCAGGACACTGGGAAATATGTCTTTGGTGTCGATGACACACTGAAAGCTTTAGAGTCTGGCGCCGTGGAAACCCTAATCGTTTGGGAGAATGTGGATATCAACAGATATGTGTTGAAAAACAATGCCACCGGTGAAACGATGATCAAGTTTCTGAACAAGGAACAGGAAGCCGATATGGATAACTTCAAGTCGGGAAACGAGGACTTGAACGTTGAGGACAAGATGCCTCTCCTAGAGTGGCTGGCTAACGAATACCGACAATATGGATGCAGTCTAGAGTTTGTCACGAATAGATCGCAAGAAGGGTCTCAATTCTGCAGAGGCTTTGGAGGGATTGGAGGAATTCTCCGTTACCAGCTCGACTTGAGCAACTTTGACGAGGAGGACGACGGAGAAATCTATGGTGATTCTGAATAACAATCAGTCAACTTTACCACCTCGTCGCTGGTTCAGGACGACGAGGCAATCAGGCCTGAACCAGCGTACGAGGGCTCTCGGGCGGAGGAACTGTACTTATCCAGTCGTTTTGCATTAAGGGTACGTTCTCTATCAGCCTTTTAGATCACCTCCATTGTGTTATATGGGCGTGTGAATGATCCAACACTTGATTTCCATTGTAACGATTATATCTTGAATATTTGATCTTGGATAGGGGTGGAGAGTAAAAAAAGAGGCTGGAGAGGTGCGGAACACAAACAAGCTTTTAGAGGACGAATGAGTTTGGTCTGAAAGGGAGATTGGATAAGATGTTATCTTTATCTTCGACATGAAACTTGGAAAAGATGTCTTTTCGGTACTATGTTTTTAGACTTAGTTTTTCTGTACTTCTGGTTTGTCTTTTATTCGTGCGTGGGATCCAGGGGTGGCCATTTCGGTTAATAACCGAATAACCGAACCGAACCGAACCGACTAACAGCGGTTCGGTTCGGTTATTTGCTTAATAACCGTTCGGTTGAGAAAATCCAATAACCGTTCGGATTCGGTTCGGTTCGGTTATTAACCGAATAACCGTGGTTATCCGATCGGTTATCAGCTTTTTTTTAATTGTTTTATCTTTTATCTAGGGTTAGGTTAATTATTTTACTGTCACTTTTACTTTTTCACTTTTCAACATCTCTCTCTCCTCCAGACTTGCGAATCGCAAGTTGCGATTGTCTTCCTTCGACTGCGGTGAGACGCCGTCACCATCGCCGTCTTCCCTCCGCCGTCAAAGGTCTGAGTCGCCGTCTCCTATCTTCTCTTTGTCTCCTTTCGTCTCTTTGCTGTCTCTCGTCTTTTCGTCTCCTCTCTTGCGATTTCGGATCTGAGATTATTGCCGCCGGTGATTGTTGAACGTCAAGCCTCTCCCCGTTGCCTCCTCCCTTCTCTGTATTTTATCTTCTGTCGCGTCCTTGTCCAGATCGTCGCCGTCTTCCCTCCATCGTTGGTGGTGGATCTCTATCATGGCGTCTCCGTCTCCACAGGTTCGTTGCCTCGCAGCCGCAGTCTTTGTATCAAATTTGTTTATTAGTTTGGCTCTCTCAGGCTCTGCCATGGCTCCGTCCGTCTCTGTCAGTCTCTATCGAGATTCTGTTTTTAGTGTATTTCGGTGTCTTTCGGTGTGTTTCGACTTTCGACTTTCATTTGTTTTATCGATTCTATCGAATCTGTTATTGATTAATTAGTATCGTTTGGTATGATATGTTTTGTAGTGAAGTTTGTTTGTGAAGATTTTCAGATTTGAGAGAGGA